TTTTTTTGTCGATCGCATTCCAAATGTGAGAGATGATAAATTTGTGTGCATTTTTCTCTCGCGATAAAAGAATGCAAAAATTGATTTGGAATATTACCGATCGCGAACGTGAGAGAATGTGAGTGAGAATTTACGAACCCTGATCGTAACACATGAGAGTTCGATATACTCTGTGGTGCGACAGGCCGATTTAGTCTGGCATTTACGGCACCTTTTCTCATTTGTCCATTTTTAGTAATAACTCGACCTCAGCACCACCTGGCGATTGGGCTGCCCTTACCGTTCCAATACATGTTTTGAATATTCGCTAAATCGGTTCATAAAAAAGATTTTAAGTAATATTTGTTTATTACTTAGCGGCAGCTGGCGGATTAAATTGTGAAATTAAACTATCCAGAAACCCACTCAAACAAACACACAAAACTTTGTTAAAATCCCTCCAGCCATTTAGGATTTCACTCAAAAATATACCTACAGAATGACTATATACACATTCAAAGATAAGTAAAAGCCAGTATGTTTCTACTTTTCCACGCCCTCTTTTCAAAGAGCCCATTTTTCTCAATGTGTTCGAAGTGTTCCAGTACTGTACTATGAACACTTCCAGAGATATGCAGTATGAAATTCGGTTTGAAGGTAGGTGCCACGTCCTCTTTTTCAATAGCTTCATATTTCTCCATGACTATGCGATTAATTTCATATATCACCACACTGAGTTCCAGTACTCTACCAAGAACAATTCTTGAGATATGCAATAACAAAAATTCGACTTGTATGGGAGGTTCCAAGCCCATATAAAGTTCCAATGCTCTACCATGAACACTTCCAGAGATACTTATTATGAAAAATTTGGTTTGTATAGGAGGTGCCACGCGCTTTTCCAATAACTCCAATTTTTCTCCATGAGCATGTGATTGATTTCATATATTTCCTTACCAAGTTAAAAAATTTTCAAGAAAAATTTTAGGAGGTGCCACGCCCTCTTTTCCAATAGCTCCAATTCTTCTGCAAGAGTATGCGATCGATTTCATTTGCGCCAATATCAAGCTCCAGTACTCTACCATGAGCACTTCCAGAGATATGCAGTATGAAAAATTCGGTTTGTATGGGGGGTGCCACGCCCCTTTTAGCAATAGCCGCAATTTTTCTTCATGAGTATGCGATTGAGTTTATATATCTCCATACCAAGTTCCAGTACACTATCATGAACAGAGATATGCAGTGTGAAAACTTCGGTTTATATGGGAGGTGCCACGCCCCTTTTTCCAATAGCCCAAATTCTTCTTCATGACTATGCGATTGTTTTTATATATCTCCATTATGGAGACTCCATACGAAAATCCAGTTCTCTATGAAAAACATTTCCAGAGATATGCAGTGTGAAAAATTCGGTTTGTATGGGAGGTGCCACGCCCCTTTTTCCAATAGCTCCAATTTTTCTTCATGACTATGCGATTGATTACAGGCTTTAATTTAACTTGGTCATTCTGCGGAAAATTTCAATCAATTTTAATCTAACTTCCCGATAAGCTAGAGACTTGAAACTTTCAGCGTATGTAGTTCCAATCACGATGACAATGCAATATAAAATTTAAATGAATTCCCTAGATCGCCCAGGGACCTTGATACAAAGTCGGTCAAAACAGAGTAAAATTTATGTCTAACGGAGCGTGATTTGTCAAAGTACGTAAAAACGCTATAAGTTTGTTAAATAATAAATATAGTTTCAGGCTACGGTGTCCTTGAACCAGATTCAACGGAATCGGTCTGGTCTGGATGGAATTTCCGATTAGACTATTTTTGGGGGGTGTTCCCAAGTTAGAATACGTGACAAGTGCCGATTTCAAAAACGGGAACTTTTTCGATTTTCAGGTAGGTTTTCGATAAGGTATTAATTATATTTACAGTATATTTTGCTTTGCTGCCTCTATGCTTAAGTGCACATTTAAGCTACCTACCCCAAAATGCGCATCAAAAGCATTATTTTTAACATTTATAAGGAAACTGCTCCGATAGATGCATTCAACATACCTGCACATTGGCGATACCTGCCTTAAAAATTGTGCGACTAGTATCAATTATCAAAGCAAGTATTACGTTTACCTGCACTGGCCCTACAATTTCCTAATTTTACAAGCTTTTATTTATTTTGCTCATCTCGCAGAACAACGAAAATGGCTATCAATTTATGTACTTATATAGATAATTAGATAACATTCGGTAAAAATTTCGCTTGCAGTAATTTCTACATGGTAAGTGCTCCGCCAATATTTGGTTTCAAAGGGATTCGGATACCTTCCTCATTGAAGTAGTAAAGAAAATTCGCTTAAGTGCCTTTTTCGGTTACGTGCACAAGTTATTCGTGCAAAGAAGGATGTGCAGCTAAACAAAATATACTGTATTGCCAATATCTATACATACATATATATGTATGTACATATGTCCTTGAACCATACATGTAATACTCCTATATTGGCAGTAAGAGCTAGTACCGTCCGAAAACACTACAGTACAGATATATCAATAAACACGTACGAAAGAAAAGGAACACACACGTTTATAAATAAACATGTACACAACACATATACAAAAACGGCACTCAAGTACACAATACATTGACAAAAACGGTACTAGACTGTCTCGCTTTGATTTCGGAATGCTTACACATTGAGAAGTTAGCTTACTGCCAATATAGTAGTATTACATATATGCCTTGAACAACAGGCCACAAATAAATTTTTTCACCAAGGATTATATTTCATCCTGGTATACAGCATAACTGCTACAACTGCAAACTATTTTGGGGGTGTTAACAAGTGCTTACTTGATTTCTGTTTCTGCGGCACAAACGATTGTAATACCTTTGTTACTTACTTTTCCCTGTAAAGACAAAATACATGCATATGTACATACATACATAAATACATATGTACATATATAAATACGTACATACATATATAAATAAGAATGTTATGTATGTATATAACTTTAAAAAATATTTAATTCCATAATCTATGCTTATGTACGTAATGAATTTTATTTGTTGTTTTAAATGCTGCCCTAATATAATATTCGAATATTTATATGCATATGTAGATATGTACATACATTTGTTAACATACTTTTGTACATAATCTATTGACATACATTCCTACATTTTT